TGCAACTCTTTGGTACTTAATTTTAAAGCTTGTAAATTCGTATATATGTCTACATTTGAGCTGAAAATAAATAAATAAATAAAATTATTACACTATTTTCCAGTTTTGCACTTCTAATGAGAAGTTTAGAAATTGCTATAATCTTCGTTTAGTAAACAGCAGAACAAGAACGTCTGATCTCACCTTCTTCACCAACTCTTACACCCATCACAGTCATCTTCATAAACGACTCAGTCCATCTCTCAAAGAAACTCTCCTGATCATTCGCAAGAATCTCAACAATCTTCCTCGTCCGATCATCTTCCATGAGAGCTGAATCCGTCTGAAACAAACCCTTGTGAGCTATCAGATTCTTGTAGTACTGGTTATCGAACGTGGACGATGTCTCTGGATCGTTATCCACGACCGTGGTTGTAGGATCCAACGAAGATGAACACTTGTTAAGAAGTGTTTGCGCATAGGAGTTATCAAGAGACGAGTCTATTTGTCAAGAAACCTTAGTAGTTTTTTTCTTTCTTTTTTTGATAAATCCTATCGGCTGATTCGGTCAGCCCCGGTAGAAACGCGCCGAAGTGTTTCAGAGTGGACTTCTCCTCAAAGGGTCACCACACTGTCTATCCCGAGTTTGGAATGCTTTCCGACTATTGCCAGGGGTAGTCAGGCCGCATGCATTTCTGACTACCAGGTAAACCAACTGGGCATTGTCTCAATTGACAGACTTCTACACAACCATGATTTTTGTTTCCACGGTGAATTAAACCTGGGTTAGTTCCTTCCAACCTTTCCCCAATTCTCCCTTACCACTAGACCACGGCTGTGCGGGCGAAACCTTAGTAGTTATCAAAGGGTTTTCTTGTTTATTATATGTGACGGCTATCGCTGAGGTTCAGACTTGAGTTTGGTCTTGTCTAGCCGCCAATGAGGATAACCAATATGCTGAAAACAGTTTTCAGCAAGATGCCCAACACGTCCACAATCAGTACAAGAGACAGAGGTGGCTCTGTTGTCAGATGTGTTCCGAGGAGAACGAGAAGTTGTCTGAACAGCAAAGCTCATGCCCTCCATCCTCTCATCATTCATACGACTTAAGAGTTTTGATTCCTCATCTTGAGACACCGTATTATAAGCCTCCTCGAGGCTGGGAAGCGGGACACATGAGAGAAGAGAAGACTTAACGGCACCATATAGTGTTTCATCCAACCCCATAAGAAATTGGTGAAGCTTGTCTTCCTCTCGTTCTCGGCGTACCTCCTCCATTGTCTTGGCTTGTTGGTAGTCAGCCAAATTTCTCCACAGTTGAGTAAGTTTTCCGTAGTATGCTTCTATTGCAAGTCCTCTTTGACGACAATTTCTAAGTCTGTCTTAAGACGTTGAACACGCTGTCCATTCTTCACACCAAATCGCTTTTGGATGTGAATCCAAAGCTGATGAGAGTCATCAATGTGAGATAAGGGAGAAGACAAACTCTAATCAACTGTAAGCTTGATCCAAGAGACAACAAGAGCATTGCTAGCAACCCAATCTTCAAAATCTGGTGAGGTTTCGTCGGGCAGAGGTATAGTGCCATCGGCGAAGCCAAATTTCTGGCGTGCCTTAAGTGCCAAGCGAAGATTGGTTGCCCACTCATCGTAGTTGTGACCACGCAATAGTGGCTTGGAGATCAAGGTACCTGGGTTATCACCAGAGGATAAATCATACGGAGATATCGTATGACGGCTTTCAACTCGTACTTGAGATATGAGTTCAGTCAAAGCAGAAGTAGTAGAGGCTGAAGCTGAAGGAGAGGAAGCCATCGTTGGTAAGAAGAAAGACAACTTGGAGAGATAGTTGAATTTAAGGTCAAATAAGAAAGAAAAACAAAATAGAGATCTTGTAGACAGCGGAATAACGAGATCAAGATATCGAACAAAACCTTTTGCAGAAATTCTAGGTTATTGCTTTGATACCATGTCAAGAAACCTTAGTAGTTATCAAAGGGTTTTCTTGTTTATTAAATGTGACGGCTATGGCCTTATATACATGTGTACAATACATATTATGTAACCTAATACAACATAATTAACCGTCTTATGTAAGCCCAACAATAACACAGCCCACCAATACTATTAGACCAACATTATTGGCGGGATCTTAAGAGGCTAAGATCCCAGCAATAATGATGCCCTTAGCTCTAAGTTGCCTTTGGGACCAAGCTTACACCTGCTGTTAAATGTATTGCAATGCGCTGCTCCAAACCTGAACGAAGCAGTCATGAGAGATGAGACGTAGCTTGCTTCCCAAGAACTGATGGATCAGACGTAAGATTAACCGGTTGGACCAACCTGTCCGGTCTGGTTCAGATGTGAATACATTGATATTTTCTAATACAACACACCAGATTTAATTGCACTTATACTACCGTAGAACAATCCCTAAACCTATAGGCTTAAATTAGCGTCTTTACCCTTATATATTTGCTTTAGTTAATTTTTGTCAAGACAAAATGATATGAAATACAAAATCTATTTGCGTCTTTTAAAAGTGAAAAAGAAATAATTTACTAGTGTTTTGGCTTAAAGCATGAAACATAACATTCTTTATACACAATTGGCGAGAGACATCATAATCACACCATATGATACATCGTACTATTTAGATTAAATATTACAAGCACACCACGTAGAAGTCCAAAAATTCACACCACCTAACAGCAAACATACTTTTGACATAAGAATGGATAGCCTTTCGTGGACTTGTATATTATTTCTGCAGAATCCTTTCAAAAAGGTAAAAATATGAGCAATCAATCGTACAACAATTTTCTTCATAAATAACTTTTTTACGATGATCGTAAACTAATTACATTGCGACGATCATAGTAAACGACAAATTTTAAAGGAATTACTAACCTGTTTTTGGGTAAAATATATAATTATCAAAATAAAAAAATAAAAATTAGATTATGGTTATGGTTATTGTAAAAAACATTGGGGATTTACACAAATAACCTTTTTAGGTTACCATTTTGTACAAATATCCTCTCTTGGTATCTATTTTAAAAAATACCATTTTCTATGTATAAAGTGACTGATTTTTTCCGCCAAAATTTTTCCGCAATTCCTTAAAAAACCTTTTAAAAAACTTTGTAAATATTTTTAAAACCCTTAAAAATCCTTTAAAAACCCTTGTAAATCTTTTAAAAGTTATTCAAAACCTTTAAAAACTTCAGTAAACCTTTTAAAACATTTGTAAATGATTTTATAACATTGATAAACACTTGTAAATCCCTTTAAACCTCTTTTTTTTGTCATCAACTTTAAACCTCTTATAACCGTGGTAAATTCTTTAATAAAAACTTTTGTAAACTTCTAAAACCCTTGAAACCTCTTGTAAATTCTTAAAACCCATTTTAAATTCCTTGTAATGCCTTTAAAAACCCTTTTAAACCCTTAAAACCCGTGTAAACTTCTAAAACCTTTTTAAAACCCCTTGTAAATACTTTAAAACTATTTTTAAATCTTTGTAAATATCTTTAAAGATTCTTGGAAATCCTTTTAAAACTATTTTGAAATCCTTGTAAATGCGTTTAAAAACACTTGTAAATCCTTTTAAAAACTCTTGTAAATTTGAGTAATTTTATTCAATGTTGACAAAAAAAAATCCCTGTAAATTTTTAAAAACCCTGTGAAAATCTTTTAAAAATCCTTGTAAATCCTGAAAAAACCATTATAAACTTATTAAATATTTTCAAAACCATTGTAAATCCTTTAAAACCCATTTAAAAACCTTTGTAAGCTTCTAAAACCCTTTAAAAACCATTCAAAAACCCTTGTAAATCTTTTAAAAGAGCCTTTAAAAAGAATTTGGCGGGAAAAATTTTGCAAATATTTTTTTTTGCGGCTATTTTTTTGGCGAGAAAAATTTTTCGGCAGGAAATTTTTTTGACAGGTCATTTTTTAAGGAATATTCTTTCAATTAGGGGTAAAATGGTCATTAAAATTTAAGAGAAAGCAAAAATGAAAATAGCAAAAAAAAGGGTAGTTTTGCAAAAAGGTATGATTAAAAAGGTTATTAGAGAGAATTTCTCAAAACCATTCCACTATACTTTTTGTATTATGATTTTTGTTAAAAAACATTCCATAATAGTTTTTGTAAAAAATAATATTAGAATTTGTTTGACTAAGTTTGAGAATATTCAAAATTAAAAGAGTGAAAATATGTAACGTGCATTATTTAATAGTAAATATGTTTGGTAATAAGCCAATAAACAGATAATAATTCAATGTAGAAAAAATAAATTGGTTATCTAGTGAGTACTGAGTAGTGAGTACTGAGTACAGTTTCTCCTTTATTATACGATATGATTATCTAGCAAATTAAATGATTATTAATTCTGCAGAACACCTCGTGTCTAAAATAGCAAAAGGAAACAAACTCATAAATTAAAAGAGTGTTAGCAAATTATTAAAGAGATAATAGGAAGTTTAGTACATTTATGAAACTTAATTAGAAAAGTGATACATTTACTATTTATAATTAGAAAAACAATCATTTTATACTATTTACCACTATTTGTAAGACTTTACCATCCTCAGAAACAATTGATATTTACAACACTTGCCAGTCTTTCTCTTTTTTTTTTACGCTCACATTTTTTTTTCCTTTTTTTTTTTTATGTTTTTCTTTTTATTTTATCCCCTTCAACCTAAAAGCTATAATACTATTCAATAAAAATAATATTTTTTAAAAAAAATCAGATATATAAAAACCTATGTTTTTCTCTATTATTTGATATGCATTTTGCTAGATAGTTTTATTTGATGATGTCAAATAATTTTTTTTCAGATTTTAGATCTGTACAACTTAATAAATGTACAACTTAATAAATGTATAGATGTATTATTAAATATACATATGTAATCTGTACAACTTATTATATGTACAAATGTAATTCGTACAACTTATTAAGTGTACATTCAGATAACTTATTAAATGTACAAGTATAGAGTAATACACACAATTTAATCTATATATCTCATTACTGTAGATATATATTAATATACAATTAATGTACAAAACCATCACGTACAACACTATTGTACAGATAGAGAATGAAATGTATACTCCCCCGTTTCACAAAATGTGTCATTTTAGAGTTTTATTTTTGTACATATATTAATTTGTATAGATTTCCTCTGTACAATGATTTATATCTGTACAGACATCTTTATGCATAGTGATATACAAATGTACATATATTTTTGTGTACAGTTGTATCAAACTAAAACTCCGAGCCATAAACATTTGTGTAATAAATTGTACACATAAAATGTGCATGCAATGTATTTGAAACTATTAAACATAAACATTTGTATATATATAGCTTAAATCGTACATACATATATATGTACATAAGAATGTATGTACATATATAATTATATATATTTTTATACTATTATACAGTTTTTAAAATTATTTAACAAAATGCATATCAAACTATTGAGAAAAAAACATAGACATTTTTGCATGTGAAAGAAATTAGAAAAGAAAATTACATTGACAAATATCTTAATTAATAAACTGAAGGGGGTGTGTAATAAAAAAAGATAAAATAAATAATTAAATAAAAATTTATTATTTTTCTTTTCTACATAAGGGCATCTTCATGGGCATATCCCCAAGGGTCTTATGTGAATAAACAAAGCCCAAAATATTAAAATAGTGAAATGTTAAGAAGCATTCGGTTTTATCTCAAGATGTTTTCGAAAGAGTTTAACAACCGGTTCATAAGCATACGTGGCAAAGAGTTATTGGTTGGTAACTGTTGAATAAAAATAATATTATTTGTCTTATTCTCTTTCAATAGTTTCTCCTCTTTCCCTAGACGACAGAGAACGATGAACCAATATCTCTCCATCAACATCTATGCAGATCTTCTTCAAGCTACAAAATCACAATTCCAATTTCAATAATCGAGAATCCAAAATCAAAAGGAAAAGATTTGATAAAAAAACAAAATGCCTTCTCGACGAGTTTAGGATCGAGATTTTTGTCGGCGACGAGAGTAGCGTGGAGACGACGGATTGATGAATCAACGGCTGAGGCGTTTTGACGGAGAGATAGCTCTTGTTGATTGATTTTGTGATGATGAGATCGGATTTGGATTTGTGGAGATGAAATTTTTTTGTTCTAAAAGAAGAAGAAATGGTTTGAATCTGTTTTTTTTTTTTTTAACAATTTAAGAACCTTGAAGTTCAACCAATAATAACCTATATATTTGAACATCTTAATTTACTTTTTTACAATATTAATACACTATAAAATCTCTAAGATACATTTGAAAGGATATACCTTTAAGGATGCTCTAAAGCTAACGAAGAGTGACGAGAGTTGGAAAGAGGGAGATGAGAGAACTCATTTTTGTCTTTACCCATATTCTGCCTTACCCCACCTCATTTTCTATCTCACACTCTTCTTATCTCACGCACAGTGTTTTACACCCATTTCACAAATTATAAATAGTATTTGTACTATATTCCTAATTAGTTTCTGAAAATGTACTATAATGCCAACTCACCCATTATTAAAAGAGTGTTTAAAGGAACTTTCGAATTACCCATTCACACCCAACAACTCTCATTGAGGAGCGTCATTGTCTTTCTATAAATGGACAAACGTAGAGTCTCTCTTCCGTCAAGTTTTAGAAAACTCTCTTTGCACTTTTCATCATCTTTAGTCGACTTGGTAAGTCTCTCCCCCTCCCTCTTCTTAATTTGTATTTGGGTGAATTAAATTTTTATACTCAGTTGACTGAAAAATTAAGAATATAGCATTGATAAGTGTATAATTAGTTCTCTCTCATCAACTTGTATAAGTGGACAAAAATATCCTTTCGCATCTAACAAATTATTTAGCGAGATAATGATATAAGTATCGACAATACTGTTTATCAAATGCATAAATAAAATTATGTTATAAGTTAGATGAATAACTATTGAATTACCATGATAACAATATATATATACGTATAAGTTTATAAATATATCGTGTTAAATTGTTTTGTATCGCGATAATTTATGATTTGTGTGATAAGTTTATATTTACCGTGTTAAATCTAAATCCTAACCACTATTTTATCAACCCAAACCGATATATAATTTCGTTTTAATTGTAAAATCTAAACCCTAATCACTATTTTATCAACCCAAACCGATATATAATTTCGTTTTAATTGTAAAATCTAAACCCTAACCACTCATTTATAAACCCAAACCGATATATAATTTTGTTTTAATTGTAAAATCTAAACCCTAAGCCCTATTTATAAACCCAAACCGATATATAGTTTTGTTTTAATTATAAAATCTAAACATCAAAAATATATTTAACCATGTTTATTAAAAATATACATATTTTGTTGATAATTTATTTGTTAAGATAATATATTTCTTTTTAAATGTATAATTATATTAATCGCGCTAACTCAGTTATCAGCTAACTTATGATTATAGGGTTAAAATTGTCCAGAAAAAGCAAAACTAATTATGGAATTATCTTTAACATATAATGAATAAAACTTTTATCTAGGTACATACAAAGCAATTTCCCTTTGTATTTTTGACATTTTGTTGTTACAGTTAGCTGTGACTATTTCAAATTATTTGTGGGATGATTTCAGGATTAAGATGGAAAATGCTGAAGAAGGTCTAGATGAGATTGAGGCTCAGAGGCAAAGGGCAGGAGATAATCTTCAGGCCAGAGGAGACAACAACGAAATGGAACCGCCAGAGTTTCTTCAGAATCTCATACTGGAGAATATTTTCGTCCTCCCCGAAGAATATGAGCCCATGAATCCCGAGATCTTTTGCGCATTTAGCGCAGGGAATGAAGTATCTTTTGACAGAATGAGAGAGCATAATGTAATAATGGCATGTTTCAAAAGTGATCAAGGAGATTCTGTTCTTCATCTTGCAGCCGCTTCGGGTCGTCTTGCACTAGTGAAATGCATAGTCTCTGAATGCCCATCTCTTCTACTGGTGTCAAACATAAAGCTTGAGCTTCCACTTCATGTTGCCGCTCGTGCTGGTCATTTAGCTGTTGTTGAGGCTCTTGTTCAGGCCGTAGGATTTGTCTCAGCTAGACTTCAAGATGAAGATAATGAGAGACTTAATGTATATGTTATGCGGGACATAAATGGAGACACTCCTCTTCACTTGGCCATGATGAAAGGGCGGAGACATATGAGGATTGTTGACTGCCTGCTAACGGCCAACAATACGGCTTCACTTCTGGCGAATAATGACAGAATATCTCCCTTGTATATGGCCATAGAAGCTGCAGATCGTCGACATGTACAAGCAATTTTAAGGACAGTACCCCGGGGTGGTGATGACAGGAGAACCTTAAATGATCTCTTGCATGGGAGAAAAGATCTTGTACACGCTGCTTTGAAGTCCAAGAGTACAGGTTCGATTTAATTTTTACTCATTTTAGGCTCTTTTAATTTTCTTGAAATGTCTATATTCAAGAAATTTCTATATGCTAATGATTCGAATCCCAATTTGTTTGAGCAGATATCCTTGATGATCTCCTTGACAAAGACGCAAGTTTTTTGGATGAACGAGATGAAGAAGGCATGACTGCTCTTTCATTTGGAGCATTGATAGGGTTCTACAAAGGAGTATGCAAGCTATTAGACCGATCAATAGAGCATGTTTTTGTATGCAATGACGATGGATCCTTTCCAACCCATGTTGCTGTAGAGAAAGGTCACAAGAGAGTTACCAAAGAGATTCTCAGGCGTTGCCCAGATTCAATTTATCTGCTTAACAAACAAGGTCAGACCATTCTGCATACTGCATCAAAGCGTGGGAAAGATGCATTTTTCGTTTTTCGTTATACGAGGAAAACTGGTAATGGTCTTCTTATGGGGAAGCAAGATGTGGATGGGAATACACTTTTGCATCTGGCTACCTTAAACTGGCGCCCTCGTACACTTTATGAACTTCTACATCTTGACTATGCAACAAGTATCATCGGCACACTGAACAATAAGGGTTTAACAGCTGTGAAACTTGCCGAGACAAATATGCAAACCAACTACATTTACATGGAGGTATCTCCCATTTAACACCATAATCCTATATTTACTACGAGTATTGAGTATTTTCTTGAATATTTATAGGCGTTGTCTTGTTTGTTTGGATTACAGAGGGTGACACTGATGGTGTTATTGTACTATTACGCATGTTCAAGAGGTGTCTCCCAGATGTTTAAGCAAAAGATAACAAAACGATCAGGCCCACCAATTGATGGCAATTACAAAGACTACGTCAACTCTCTTCTAGTGGTGGCAGCTCTTATTGCAACCATGACATTTGCTGCTGGTTTTACACTACCAGGTGGATTTAGCACCAGTCCTGACAGCATGGGCATGGCAATTCTAGGCAACAAAAGTGAACTCCTCTATTTTTTGGGATTTGACGTTTTGGCAATGCAGTGCTCCATCGTAACGATAATTACTCTGTTATGGGCGCAGCTGGGGGATCCGTATCTCATGCATAAATCCTTAAATGTGGCCTTGCCTACATTGTCTTTGGCTATATTATGCACGACAATCGCGTTCTCTATTGGCGTTTTTATTGCAATACCGCATGGTAACATCTTTTTGTTTATCGTCCATTCCTCGTTTGCGCTCCTCTTCTATGTGATTTTGTATATCGCTGGCCCTCACGTTCTGCTACAGGCACCTAACATTCCTGCTATCTTTGGAACGGTTATAATTCCATTTTTTATGTTTTTAAACGAAGACTGCGAAGACAGTTTATCAAAGATTAAAAGCCAAGATTCCGTCCAAGACCAAGGCCCCGTCCAAGACCAAAATCAAAATCCCGTCCAAAACCAAGACCAGGTCCCCATCCAAGACCAAGGTCAGAATCCCGTACAAGACCAAAATCAAAATCTCGTCCAAAACCAAAACCAGGGTCCCCTCCAAAATCAAAATCAAGCCCCCATTCAAGACCAAGGTCAGGACCCCGTCCAAGACCCAAATCAGGCTCCCGTTGAAGACCAAGGCCAGGGTCTTGTCGAAGACCAAGGTCATGACTGATGCAGCGCAAGATGCAAATCCTTTTTATGACTTGGTTATGGTGTTTGAAGTTTGTTTTCCTTTCGTTTAAGTCGATAGTTGTGCTTAAAACTTAAAAGAGAGACCCAACGAGTTGTCTACGTTCACTCTGAGATTTAATAAAATAATAAAATATCAAAAGTTTTATACATATTTTTTCCATAATTCCGAGCATTCTCTAATAATTCAACTGTTTATTTTAAGACATGGACATGGTATGGATAACGTGTATTCTAATATTGGAATAGCATAACGACGACGCACAATTGATAATCAGAATAAGTCCGCACGTTAATTACCCTCGTAGTCGTATAATTCATTTTGTTTTTTTTCTTTTTCTTATTCTGTTTTCCCTGTCCAATGTAAGACATATTGATTTTGTACTTTAAGTCATGGACTCATCACGGTCATGCCTTAATTTCGAATTAGGAATAAGTTTTGGCCAAAAAAACAGCATAACACAAGACCACAATGACCTCCTCATGCCCAGCTCCTTGATTCCCTCACCAACCCACACGAAAACCTAGCTTCTCGTCCGTCCTTCTCTCACGGCAAAGCTAAACCATTCTTCTCTCTCCCGTTGATCTCACGAATCCAAAACTTTTTGTTCTTCTCTAGAAACGACTGAAATAAGACCAAAGAGGCTAGAAAAGAAGTTGCGTCGAGTTTTATATGTAACAGAGATTTAGGTTTCTTTAAAAAAAAATTTCTTGCCTATCAACCTCGTATAATTTAGGGTGTGTTGGCAAACTAGTACGTTTTTGAAACATAATTATAAATATAGTACATTTACTATTCACAATTAGCAAAATAGCACAATTTTACTATTTCAGATATCTGTACAGACAAAAAACTGTACAGTAACATATATATTATTGTACATCAAATATTTGTACAAAGAGAAACAACTACGTATAAACATATTTACACATAAACAAATATACATATATAGACCATAATATATATGTACACATACAATTATACGTATATATAGACCGCTGTACGGATGATTTTCCGTACATCGCCACACAACTGTACATAAGGTTAGCTGGACGTATCAAAATTTGTTTGAAAAATATATGAAATTATTTTTAAAAAAATGCATGTCAAATTATAGAGAAAAAAATACAGATTTTTGTGTAACTGAAATTTTATAGAAAACAAATATATTTTGATGAATATTTTTAGTTATTAGATTTAAGGGGTTTTTTAATATTGTCTAAATAGTGTCCAAATAGTAAAAATGTATTAGTTTGCTAATAATGATTAGTAAATGTACTACTTCTACAATTATGTTTCAAAAATGTACTAAAAACCCAATTAATCCTATAATTTATAAGAATTAATTCTTTCTATAAACAAGCCAAACATGTACCATGAAAAAAACAGAAACCTCGCGCCCTTGCAGATTTCATAAGTTTGTCGGACCAGATATTGATATCTCAAGAAATATATCAAATATTAAATTCTACAAAACGGTCTCGAAGAAATGTGAAAGCTCGGAAGCAAATTGTCGGAAAATCTTTACAATTTGCAATCTTCGTAAGAAGATTCAAGCAATATATAAGTCGCGATGAAGACTCTAGCTATAGACAATGGTATCAAGCTTTTCATTTCCCATAAAAAGGTATCTAACTCGTTATTCAATAGATTAAACCAAAATTAACTCAGATAGAGTGATCTCCCCAAAATGTTGGTGTCACAAACCAGTACAAGAAAAACGAAGATTTAAACTAAAACACAAGTTTGCCCAAAAAAAAATAGAACACAAGAAAATGAAGTGGAAAATATCTCTCTTATTATGTGTTCTACTAAAATTGATTCATAATAATGTAAAACTATATTATAAAAAAATTTGCAAAATATATTCTAAAATGTAAATACAGATAATTTTAAAATCAAAAAAAAAAGTAGGCAAAAAAAAAAAAATCAAACAAAAAATAATCTAATTGAAAATAATATTTTCACTACTGTTGCATATACCAATTACAGAAATTGAAACTTACAAAAGGCTAAGACCACATGATCGGTCTAGTCTCTGTTTAATTAACAGCAGAACAAGAGCGTCTGATCTCACCTTCCTCACCAACTCTCACACCCATCACACTCATCTTCATAAACGACTCAGTCCATCTCTCAAAGAAACTCTCCTGATCATTCGCAAGAATCTCAACAATCTTCCTCGTCCGATCATCTTCCATGAGAGCTGAATCCGTCTGAAACAAACCCTTGTGAGCTATCAGATTCTTGTAGTACTGGTTATCGAACGTGGACGATGTCTCTGGATCGTTATCCACGACCGTGGTTGTAGGATCCAACGAAGATGAACACTTGTTCAAAAGTGTTTGCGCATAGGAGTTATCAAGAGATGAGTCT